CAACCGAGAAATTATTTCGTGTGGCATGGTTTATAATGTTATAACTATTAGTAAATGGTAAAAAATGATTAAAATCTGGAATGTATAGACCACAAACAATCTTTGATAATGACTTTATCAATGACTTTACTAAGACTCATGATAAAATATCTGTAAAGTATGATCATATGATTCTTCTGGGCGATTTAAATTATGACTTACTATCAACAGATAAATGTACACCTTTAAACACATCTGTGAAATATGTGGAATTGAAAACATTATGAAAGGTGCAACTTGTTTCAATAAAGATGCAAAACCAACATTAAATGATGTCATCTTAACAAACAGAAAAAACTTAATCCAAAATACCACAAATTTTAACTGTGGATTGAGTGACGTCCATGACATCATTGATGTACAAATAAAATCTGATGTTCAACCAACTAAAAAAACACTAAAAACATACAGAAGCTATAAACAGCTAGACAATGGATTTTTTTTTATACGATCTAGAACAGGCAAATCTTACAACAGTTGTAGATAATGTGGACAATGTTAATGAGGCTAACACTATTTTTCACACTAAATTAATTAGTATACATGTTGTTGACAACCACATACCAGTGAAAAACTGTTTACAAACCAGCACCATTGGAAAGAGTTCCGCATATGGCACCCCACGGAATAAACTGTAATACATTATTGTGTTCTTTTAGTATGGTGGGGGTGCCATATGGAACTCTTACCGCACCATTTATGAATATGCATCTAAAATATGCAATCTATAAGAAACAAATGTTTACATATAAGATCAAAGAATAAAATGCTTCGCTGGGCACAGCAAGATACGACCGCAGAGGTCGAATCCTGAACAGTTGCGGCAAGTATGGACACAACATTCAAGCTTGATACAGCTCTGAATTTGGATTGTGATTAAATATTTGACACAGCATAGGTTTCTGACACAGAAAGAATGTGGTCTAAGAACTTGAATTTTTTTAATTTACCTATTATGGTCCAATGTCCAAAATCAAAATACATGGATAGATTCAGCATATCAAAGAACCCCAAGAATTCAATTTTTGCTAAAATCAAACTAAGTTTAATTTTGGACCCTTTGGACCTTAATAAAGACGAATTTAAAAAACGGGACCCAAAATTAAAAATCTAAATACACGTTTAGATTTGGAATATCAAAGAACCCCAATAATTCAATTTTTGATGAAATCAAACAAAGTTTAATTTTTGACCCTTTTGACCTCAATTTGAACCAATTTGATAGCAGGGCCCACAAATAAAAAATCTAAATACATGGTTAGATTCAGCATATCAAAGAACCCCATATATATTCAATTTTTGTTGAAATCAAAAAAAGTTTAATTTTGGACCCCAGTTTAGACCAACTTGAAAACTGGGCCCATAATCAAAAATCTTAACACATGTTTAGATTCAGCATATCAAAGAACCCCAAGAATTCAATTTTTGTTATAATCAAACTAAGTTTAATTTTGGACCCTTTGGACCTTAATGTAGACCAATTTAAAAAACGGGACCCAAAATTAAAAATCTAAAAACACGGTTAGATTTGGCATATCAAAGAACCCCAATAATTCAATTTTTTGATGAAATCAAACGAAGTTTAATTTTGGACCCTTTTGACCTCAATATGAACCAATTTGATAGAGGGGTCCTCAAATAAAAAATCTAAATACATGGTTAGATTCAGCATATCAAAGAACCCTATATATTCAATTTTTGTTGAAATCAAACAAAGTTTAATTTTGGACCCTTTTGACCTCAATATGAACCAATTTGATAGCGGGGCCCACAAATAAAAAATCTAAATACATGGTTAGATTCAGCATATCAAAGAACCCCATATATTCAATTTTTGTTGAAATCAAACAAAGTTTAATTTTGGACCCCAATTTGGACCAACTTGAAAACTGGGCCAAAAATCTAAAATCTAAATACATGTTTAGATTCAGCATATCAAAGAACCCCATATATTCAATTTTTGTTGAAATCAAACAAAGTTCAATTTTGGACCCCAACTTGGACAAACTTGAAAACTGGGCCCATAATCAAAAATGTAAACACATGTTTAGATTCAGCATATCAAAGAACCCCAAGAATTCAATTTTTGTTCAAATCAAACTAAGTTTAATTTTGGACCCTTTGGGCCTTAATATGTAGACCAATTTAAAAAACAGGACCCAAAATTAAAATTCTAAATACACGGTTAGATTTGGCATATCAAAGAACCCCAATAATTCAATTTTTGATGAAATCAAACGAAGTTTAATTTTGGACCCTTTTGACCTCAATATGAACCAATTTGATAGCAGGGTCCACAAATAAAAAATCTAAATACATGGTTAGATTCAGCATATCAAAGAACCCCATATATTCAATTTTTGTTGAAATCAAACAAAGTTTAATTTTGGACCCCAATTTGGACCAACTTAAAAATTGGGCCAAAAATCAAAAATCTTAATACATGTTTAGATTCATCATATCAAGGAACCCCATATATTCAATTTTTGTTAAAATCAAACAGACCCATTGGACCTTAAAGTAGACCAATTTGAAAACTGGACCCAATATTAAAAATCTAAATACACGGTTAGATTCGGCATAACAAATAAATAAATGTGGTCAAAGATTTTACAAATCTAATGCGCCATACTGTGCAATTAAAGATTACTTCTTGAAATTTTTCAATATTTGAAATTTGAAAAAAAAAAAATATTTGAAGAATAATTCTTTTTAATTTCTGAAATCTGAAATGAGAAAAAAATGACCCCCCACAATTTCTTTTTACCCCCCTTCCCCCCCCCCCCCTCTTTTCCCCAAAAAAATTCTTTCCCTCAAGATATGGTCATAATCTCAATTCAAATTTCCAATGGAGTTTGCAACCATAATTACCCATTTAAATTTACCAAAGTGCTAACTTAATCTATTTTATAATAGAATTTAAAATATAGTGTCAAATTTTTCATATGGATTTTTTTGGAAAAAAAAAGATGCAACATTTGCAGATATTTTTACTGGTCTTCCTTTATAAATATGCATTTCTTTAAACATAATTTAAAAGCAGTGTAAGGGAAGTAACCAAAACGTTGTATTTGGATAACCTCCCTTACACTGTTTTAAATTATCTTAATTGTTCATTAACCATTACTTTATACATAATTTAAAAGCAGTGTAAGGGAGGTAATTTCAATGATGTATTTGATTTATCTCCCTTACACTGCTATAAATTATGTTTTGTACTAAAGTATTTGTCCATTAACCAGGACAACCTTGTTTTTCCCCCTTATTTGCCCCTAATTCCTAAACAGTTTGAGCCATAACCCCCCAAAGTAAATCCTAACCATCCCTTTGTGGTATGGAAACTTGTAGTATCTTTTCAGAGAGATCCATACACCGTTCCACAGTTATTGTCTGGAAACTAGAAAATGCTTATTTTTTACCCCTTTTTGGCCCCTTATTCCTTAACTGTTGGTACCATAACCTCAAAAATCAATCCCAACCTTCCTTTTGTGGTATTTAACCTTATGGTAAAATTTCAAAGAGATCCATTCACTTAAACTAAAGTTAGAGTGCGAAAACCAATGTGTCTTCGGACGACGACAACACCAACGTCATACCAATATACGACCGCAAAAATTTGTTGCGGTCGTATAAAAACAGGGAGACATATCGGCAACAACGAAACAACGAAACATTGATACCAAACTAAGACGTTAGTCTATAAGAAACTATTTTATAGAGTGTTGCACAGGCGGTCCAAAACAAAAAGATTTCTGGCCAACAATCAAACCCTTTTTAACAAACCAGTCACCAATGTATCTCCATGATATTATTAATTTTAAAAATGTACCTTACTCTTTAAGAAAGCAACAAGTTGTCGAAGTACCACAGGTGAGAACAACACAATTTGGCCTTCATTCATTAAGGTATGCTGGAGCTACACTCTGGAATGAGCTGCCTGACGCAATCCGTGCGCAGTCGAACCTGAACCAGTTTAAAAGTATGATTAACAACTGGAATGGCAACTCATGCAAATGTGGCTCCTGCAGATCTTAATGTTTTGATTTTTAAGTTGAGTTTTCCATGCAGCTTTTAGAACTAGTTTTGCATTATTTACTTTGTCTGCTTTGAATGTGCTTATAATCTAGTTTAGACTAGTGCTTTACTTGTTTGTACTGTGGTTTTATATATGAACATTTCAGCTTATGCAATATAGCTGTCTTACTTTGTATGTCTAATGTGTATGTTTTATATGCTTTATATGTCTTAGTATTGTATGTGTTGTTATTGTTATTAATGTCGGCAAAAAGCTCTACAGAGCTAATGTTTGTAATGTTTCATGTAAACCGGACTTAAAATAAAATTTTCTTCTATTCTAGTCCAAACAAGTATGCCTGTGCTATCTCAAAACTTCAAAGAAATTATAAGAATGACTCTAATCAGAAATCTAAGTATCCTTTTATTATTGTTTCTTTGTTACTGCAACTCCGTTCATCCAGCAAACATATATATCGTGCTTTGCCATGATTGTAGCTATAGAAAAGAGCAAGCGATCGAGACCAGGTTGTGTCCCCTGCATGTATGTGAATCAGTCAATATCTCGAATTTATAGCACCGGAAATGTTGAGGATTAAAAGATGCAGAAAACATCGACGGACGTAAATTGATAGCACTAGCTCACTTTACCAATAGGGCCAGGTGAGTTTAAATGTACAAGTATTTTATTAATTTTATCGGTACATTTTCGGAATGTATTGCTAATTTTGTGATGAACCAATTGTTGCTGTCCTTGTGTGATGTTTGGAATATTTCTATTTGAAAATCATTTTATCCACAGGAGTGGGGATAGGGGTGTAATTTAAGGATGTGGGAATGGGTCTGGAGGTGGACATTGAGGTGCGTTAACCTTCTTCTAGTTCACTGTTTTTCTGCACATGACTGTTATAAAATGAAAATTGATTACACGAACCTATCATACATACCTTCATTGCACTCGCTTGTAGTATTTGTATCCGCAGAAAAAGTAATAGAAATATAGGATAAGATTAAGAGGATAATAAAGGCCGACATCGTTAAATCATTTCCTTTAAAGGAAAAATATCTTGACAATTTCAAGTCTAAGGAAATCGGTGCAAGTTGAAAGAGTGCCTGTCAGTGAATATATACACTATCTTGAGTCTGAAATAAACAAAATTAATAATAAAAGCAAATGTAATTACTAATAAAAGCAAATGTAATTACAGTATATAGAATCATGTGCAAAACAGTGTAGCCGAGACCATTGATTGGCGCACTGAAATATCCAATTGACTGGGTCTGATTAGGTGAACGTTCGTCTGTAACGCCCACAACTCCCGACGTATTTATTATAAACATTTAAACTGGGGGGCTGCCAAAGGGTCTCAGTATATATACGAACTAAAGTGCACAGTATATTATATACATATTTTATTTGCGATCATAAAATGTACGAAGTCGTCCATTACTATGTAAATTGGGTCGATTAAAAAAAAAGCTGAATATGTTTCTGTTGCCAAGGGTTTTTCACAAGTATAGTAGTTAGCAGAAAAGATCATCAAACTATACATTTTATACTGAACTGCGGCCAAGCTTAGCGAAAGGTCGTGCAACATAATCAGTCAAACAAACTTTATTAGATTAACTCGTTAAGGAACGATCGTTTTCATTGGTCAATTCAAACCTTCGACCTCACACCTGCGAAAATAGAACACGCGTACTATAAAGCTGAATGGACTGATCAGTATTCACGTAGCCGGTCAAGGTCGTTAAAAACTTCCTTGGTCATATTCACGTACATGACTGTGTTCTTGATTATCCCATGGCAATTCTAGCTTTTATACATGTGCATGTAAAATTTTAAACTTTAATCTTAATTACAGTCACGTCGAAATATTTAATTCAACTGTCTCCTCTCAATTGGTTCTGGATTAAGGGAGCTACCATTTTATTTTGATTTGGGGTGGGGGACTTGGATGAAACATTTTGTCCTGCATTTTTTTTAGTTGTTATCTCTGTCCTGTCTTTCTATTTTTCAGTCTGTTAGGTCCTGACTATATTTATTAGTTTATCCTGATTTTTTTTACATAAATCGTCGTCCTGCCTTTTTTTTGTCAAGTTGCTCACCCTGCCTTATCTTTTATTCAATGGACTTGATGAATTAACGTTGTACTTGAAATGTAACCGTACTTAACTACAAAAATAACCAAATTACATACTAAAGATATTGCTCGATATTTATAGTAAATGGGTTTGTGTTATAAACTGTCATGTTCATTATTCATATTCTTTCATAAGTTTTAGGATAGTGTGATTTTTTTTCTGATTTAGTTTACTTGATTTTGAAAAAAAAATCCCGAAATTCTAAGTAAATTCAGAACATGTAACCAGCCATGCTTTGTTTAGAGAAAAAATGGAGATGGCAAACCATGGCACAGTGGAAGGAAATGTACTTTATAAACTCCAGCGATATACTTTCTTAATTTATAATTAACTGTTTTGCTGTCCTCGGTTGAAAATTATATATTGTAAATATTTAAATAGTTGCATAGAAAACAATCAGTTTTAAACAGTGTGGTTATTCACTTAATGTATTGATAAAAGGTGACTCCATTTTTGTACATACTTTTACAGTAGTCATCCTTAATTTCTTAATATTTCGTTTATAAGCTTATCATACATGTATTTCATTTTAATACGCACGCATGCCACACGTTACTTTGGCGGATAGTTAAACAATGTTATGCAAAGCTCTATTCTTACGGTATGAAATTAAAGGATAAATTTTCAACCAATTAAAATCGAAAACAGTACATTTATATAGTTCCTTATAAACTACGACATTTCTCACAAGTATTTATTTATTTTTTAGTTCCACACATGCAAAAATAAAATCTTCGCCGATGAAACATTTCAAACCTTTTTACACCAACATGCCTTCACTGAATTCATTTGAATTTCGTGGTGACCATGATAGTACATTGCATAGTACATCTATATTCACGTGCACACATGATACGATCTTTCGGGGACAATTTGCTCGTTTATGACACGTCATTTCTGAATGACCAAACGCTTAGCTACTTTATTTTCGTTTTATAGCATGAAAACAATAAAAGAGGAATGTGCAACCCATCATAAATTTGAAATGGATCAGTATTATGAGATCCTTATTATAAGTAACTACGACATTGTCAGGATAATAACCTAGCGTCAATATGAAAGAAATTAAAGTGGTTCATACATTTATCCGTATAAAAGCGGCACATGTATTTTATTTTATCCTTATATTTTTCATAGTGCGGTACAAGTGCTGCATGCATAAAGAATATTACTTAACACAAATTATTAGTATAATATTTCGACCCCACTATTTGAAATTCACAAAATACTTATTTAATTATTTCGACCAAAATCATTGTTTTTTACGTTCGTAGTAACGTAGTACATTCCATTGTCGGTCACCTGTGTCAATTCACGTGCACACTACAATTGTTGTTGTATTTAAATCTTTCGGCCAATGAAATGAGACGTTACAAGTTGTTTGTTTGTGATACGCCAGAATGTTGTCAATGAATTATCAATCGCTAAACTTGACTGCATTTCAGTGTACCTATTCAAAAACGTAAATGCAAATTTCACAAGGCTTGATCCAAATAGCCTTTTTACTGTCTAATAACTTGCAAGTACGAAAAAGACAGGAAAGAAGTATATTTTGTCTATCTGTTTTGTGTTTGCACACTTTTTAAAGTTGATCATGCATTCGTTCTAAAATAAAATTTTGACCAGATAAAAGTTAAAAGATGACATAATTGGACAACCGCAATTGTCAAGGTCATTGGTCCCAAATGTCATTGCTGAAGACCCCATGGATCTAGGACCTTTGGTTCATGAGTTAAAGCTAATTTGTCTTTTCTAAAACAGTTACAATGTAACAGGGGTTTATGACCCAAACATTTTTCACTATTTACGATTTCTGTAAGATTAACCGTTTTTGAGATATCCAATAAAAAGTTGTAAGGTCAAAGGTCAAGGTCAACCTTAAAAACCTTTAAAACACACTAACAATCCTTTAAATAAGGTCAAAAACACATAATTCGCTATCAGGGACATGACCTTGACCTTTGACCTTTAACAAGGTCGTTAGTCCCCAATGTCATTGCTGAAGACCCCATGGGTCTAGGACCTTTCGTTATATAGTAAAAGCTGATTTAGTCTTTTCAGAAACCTAAAACAGGGGTTATGCCCCTTACCATGCTTACAGAAAGGTCAAATCTCTTCGGTCAAAATGTAACAAAGTTGCGCATTAATGACCCAAACATTTTCCACTATTCAACACTTCTGTAAGTACTAAGGTTGCTGAGATTATCCCATAACAAGGTGTTAGGTCAAAGGTCAAGGTCAACATACCAATTTGACCTTGAGGAATTTTTCAAACTCACATGAACTGATGATGATTGGTGAAGATCCTAGGTGTCTACGACTTACGGTTTCTGAGTTTTGGTGGCCAATCTTTTTGATCCAAATGTAACGAAGAACCAGGGTCGGTCCTGAACAAATTTCACCCTTCGGTTTTTTTGTACCTATTACGGTTACGGTGTTTGAATGATAACAAGGTTTTTTGGTTTCAGAGGGATAACTCTGGACCGACAAAATTTTATGACTCGCAGGGTGAGTTCCGGATAGGTATTTATGACACCGATACAAAATGTGAACCTGAAGGCGACATGGCTTACGGTTACGGAGGAAAATTTTGTCAAAGTTTGGCGGAACAAAAAGAATAATAATAGTCAGAAGAAATACAGTAAGGTCTTTCCTTATAGAAAAAGGAAAGACCTTAATAAACAAACGAAATACAGTAAGGTCTTTCCATTAAGAAAGGAAAGACCTTAATCATGTTAATGAGAAAAAAAAATTATTTCAGAAAAAAATGTAATAAGAAAAAACATGCTGAATGTTGAATATTGAATATTGACCTAACTTAATTGACATCCATCAATTAAATTGCGATCGAAATGACACAAAAACAAAAGTTTATTACTTTTACTATTAAGAAAAAACTTTAAATGTATGGTTAGTTTCAGCATATCAGAGAACACTAAGAATTCAATTTTTGGTGAAACCAAACAAAGTTTAATTTTGGACCCTTTGGGTGTGGACCAATTTGATAACAGGGCCCAAAATCTAAAATCTAAATACACAATTAGATTCAGCATATCAATGAACCTCATTTATTCATGTTTTTGTTAAAATCAAACTAAGTCCAATTTCGGACCCTTTGGACCTTAATGGGACCAATTTAAAAAGACGGCCCCAAAATCAAAAATTTAAATACACGGCTAAGATTCAGCATATCAAAGAACCCCATTATATTCAATTTTTGTTAAAATCAAACTAAGTTCAATTTTAGACCAATTGGACCTTAATGTGGACCAATTTAAAAACGGGGCAGAAAATAAAAAAATCTCTAGATACACGATTAGATTCGGCATATCAAAAAACACCAGTAATTCAATTTTTGATGAAATCGAACAAAGTTTAATTTTTGACGCTTCTAACCTCAATGTGGACCAATTTAAAAACGGGGCCGAAAATTAAAAATCCAAATACACGGTTGGATTCAGCATATCAAAGAACCACAAGAATTCAAGACTTTGAATTAAACCCATTGAAATTGGTCAAGAAATAAACAATTTATACAAAGTATTAAAGAAGTATTCTGTTGACCTTATTTCCTAAATGGTTATGACCATAACCCTCAAAATCAATCACAACATTCCAATTTTGGTATGGAACCTTATGGTACAAAATTTCAAGTAGATCCATTGACTTATACTCAAGTTATTGTCCGGAAACCAGAACATCCTTATTTTCCCCCTCTGTGCCCCTAATTCCTACACGGTTATACCATTACACAACCGCAAAATTTTTGCGGTCGTATAAAAAATTTCACGAATGTACAATCACATGTTCCCCAATAATAACTTTTTTTTATTCGCACTTTGTTGAAAGTGACAAAAAACATGACGTGTCATTGTTCTATTTATATATCAAGTAAAATAAAAGTCGTTCTAATACTTATTATCATCGAGTTGTTATATCATTTGTTCACAGTGTTGTGTCGTATACAGATATTGCTCGATTTATATGTACTCACCTG